GTTTATCTTGAAAACAGAAGTTGTGTCTCCCGAGTCCAAACCACTGAACAGATTTTCTAATGATAATTTTGTTCTGGAGTTTCCTCTTGATGATGCTAGACTCCAATAACCCTGAGTGAATTTTTTTCATTATCAAAGTAACAATTAAGAATCTTTATGGTAAAACTCTTCTAAGAACACATTACAGAATAAACCAGTTGAATGAGTCATCCAAAATGGAAGTTTGACTTTTCACTTTGATTTTTTTTTCCACAAGTGGGCAGTGAATTATGTCAAAAGAAGTTTTAGAGATATTATTCTGAGAGATACAGTCACACAGCTAACTTAAACAGTAAGGGAAAATTACCACTAATTAAACTTGCACTCCAAAATCTAGGACTTTCGTTCAAGATGCAAAGTAATTAGGTAGGGCTGATAACCCCAGGAGTTATTCTGAATAATATATATTATTTCATGTAGAATAAAACAGCAATCTGAATACTAAGACAGTCTGAAATAAAATTTGAATATTTCTGTGTGTACCAATGTAACAGCAAAAATGTTTTATATTTTTTACTTTAAAACATGACACAGTGCTCACTCTTCTAGTGCTCTTATAAAAAATAATATGGAAGTATATAACATGCACTCTTTGCAAGCCCACCTTACATCAAAATATATCACAATTTTTCCTACAATATGCTTATACAGTAAAATTTATTAGTTTTTTTCTTTAATGTAAATTATCAAAACAATCTTAATTATATACTTGGAGGCTTTAGAATTTATATCTCTACAATTATTCTTTGATGAATGCACATTTATGTAGAAGACCTCAAATGAATACAAAGACACTTTGTATGGGCTGCAGATCTATGCAGGGGTTGTGTGAAGGTGAAGCTATTGCATGCTCTACTTGAATGGGTTTTCCATCTTAAATTCTGCAGCTTTAGAAGAAACTGTTTCCAAATGTATTTTCTGTTACAAATTTGGTATTTTATTGGGCAGGCAGCTTCAAACAAACAGTATCTAATGAGATTTTTAAAGCGTTACGCAAACATATTATCTATTGCATAGTTTTAAGTGGCTAACCAGCCAGTAGCACACACTTAGGAGCAATCATTTATACCAATCACTACTTTATATTTATTCCTTCAACCAAATGCACATAAATTATAATATATCATATAAAGTCTCTCTGTTGCAAAATAGCAGTCATGTTCCCCACCCCCTCCACTGGCTTATTTCTTACGGATTTGGGGCCTTTTTTGCTTTCTGGATGGAGGATATCAGGTCTCTTAAAAGTGAATGTGGAAATGACAGATCTTTGTTCTAGCAGCAGTAACAGGTGCTCCTGTAATGCTGCTTATTACCCTATTCCTTCATTATTACACATTTACAATCCGGTCATATCCAGTGTCATAATGCTCCCTTTTAATTTATTGTACAACCACGATGAATAAAGAGACTTTTAGGACTAACTATTTCATAAACAAGAAATGAAACTGTTCCAGCTCAGGCATCTTTCACATAAACAGATGCTATGCCATAAACTTCTTTGTTTTGTGTCGCTTTATAGGGATGACATCTGTTTGACAAGAGATTGCTGTACTGCAGTGGTGTTGCAATTTGATTATAAATTGGTTCTGAAATAATTTAAGCATTCCACAGTAGGAGTTAATAAAAGTTTAAAAGGAGAACTGTTTTCATTCAATCCACATTACTAAATTTCATGTGGGGTAAACAATCAATTGAAGTGCATGGCTGTAACACTTATACAAGATAATATTGAGAAAAAATATTTTAAAAAAAATTTCTAAAATAATTAAATTGAAAGCAGGCAGTTTTCTTGAACAGGGGCTCCTCTTTCATGGAAATTAAGTTACGAGATCAGAATATAAACTCTAAAATCACCTTATTAAAACATACTATTGTCAAAAGCAGATACGGATCTTGATTTTCAGTCACCTTAACAGGACTTTAGTGCAAAAGGTACAGTATTCTCCAAAATTTGACATGTTTCAGGCATTGTAGCCTCTCAGGCTTAGGTCTTAGGGATCTAATAAGTACTACAGATCAATTTCCTGAATTTAAATGCCTCCTGAATTGACGTGAGCAAAAAGGAGTTGGGGTCATTTTACCTGAGGCTGATAAGGTAATTAACTTCTGAGTTTCTAACTTGTATACTGAAAGCCGTAACAGGAGGCAGCATGAGCTAAGAGAACAGAAGTCAAGAGTTAAGCATCTTGTCCTACTCTGACAGGCACCATCGTGCTTTGGACAAGCCACTGCTGGTTCAGGCCGTCCACCCTGGCTCACGCTGGTTACAACCTTTATTCACAAGTAGTTGCATCAATTTCAGTGATTACTGTTCACTACCTTAACACACCAAGGGTTGGGTTTTGGGTTTGTTTGGTTTTTTCCTGTTGTTTTTCAAACAAACACTATTAAATTATAAGCAGATGCACAGTTAAACAAACATTTAGAAAATGGATACCTACTGTTACCCTGGCAACTATTACAGATACAGGTTGCCTTTTTAGAATGCCTTATGTTTGCCTCTCTAGGGCTAAACCAAATGATTCGCTTTGGACATTGCCATAATTAAACAGAACTTTCTAAACACAGAATGGATGGTATTGTATGTATATGTTGACAGCAACCTATATTACCACAGTGAGTTTACTAAAAAGCTGTTCTTTTTTCTACTGTAGGTGATTCAGAAAATACTGTAGCTGCTGAAGGAAGGAAAAAAAAGCTTTTTTCCCTTAAAAATTCAGAGCAATACTCCACACTAGTTGTTTGTTCATTAGAAAAAATTTCAGCGACAATTTGTAATTTCAAGTGTAAACATAAACAGTACCTTCTCTTTCATCTGCTTCATTGGACACTATTAGTTTGTTAGATGTAGCTGTTGAAAAGATATCTGGAAGACTGTGTTGTTCTCGTTCATGATTTCGCAGTTGGCTCTGAAAAAAACAGTTTCCCATGTTTAAATATATACTGCAAACATACACTGGTCACTTCAAATATTGCAGTAACTTGTGACATTGTTACTCAAGTTTTAATGACAACTGTTATAAAATGTATGTTAACATATAAACAGATTATCCCTCAAGTAATATTACTAGAAACAAAACAAAGTAAATAACATTAATGAATAACAGAAAAGGTTGGCGAGAGTGACTGAGTGGATTATATGATTTGTATTTATTTAGAAAATAGATTTGTTTCTTCTCCCATTCCCATTGACAAGTGGCAAACAGTTCTTCCTCCAAAATTATTATACTCCAAAAGCAGTATTAGATTAGAGGTTTCAGGATGGCTTGTGTGAAAACTGAGTCAATTTTTGTATTACTTAGTTATTTCAGAATATGTTATTCCTGTTTCTGCTTGCCTGGGGAGGAAAGTGGAGGAAGAACCTTTTGCTACCCTACCTATACATTTTTTCCAACTAGGACTAAACAACAGTAAATACGCACCACCACTGCCTACAAGAGTTTCAGTTGTACAGCTGGATACTGATGCTATTTATTCTATGTTCCTGAGTACTGAACTGAGTACATAGGAACACACTCACCAGCACTAATGCTCAATATAGTGATTATAAAAATGGCAGAAGTACATTATTCTGCTCTGACATGTAATCTTTTCAGATTTAAGTTCTACAGAACATCCAGACCAACACAACAACAGAGGAAAAAGGACAATCTCTGCTTCAAAGTGTCTCACGTTACCCCCAGCGTTACTTTTGCACACACTCATAACTACTGGGCATTCTTTAAAAGTTTCAACTTAAATTTCTCTGATGTTTCCATTCCTTCCTGCAGTGGCTACATGTGGATAGAAAAACAACATTATATTAATACAGCCTTAAGATGGTTCTCAGGAAAATATGTGAGGAAGCAAGTTTATTTCAGTGGGTAAAGCAGAATAACTATAGCTGAATTGTATAGTCAGAAAGTGCTGCTGGCAATAATCCCCAGTTGTAATGACAATGAAGCCAGGATGTCAGAGTGAATGATGTTAGAAAGAGGGATCACCAGTTATCAAAAAAGTAGCAAAATAGGTTATTTAGCTATTATAGCCAGGCACAGGAAAGAACTTTACCTTATAATGAAAGGATTCTTCACATTGCTTGCACTGATACATTCTTGTTTTGCAGTGGTTGATCATGTGGCTCTCTAAATCCTTACTGTTGTCAGCAATATGTTCACAGATAGGACACTGGTACGGCTGCCTCTGCCGATGGACTCTCAAGTGTTGTTTAATGTACCCCTTATTACCACTGCTATAATGGCACAGGCGACAGCGGTAGGGTCGATCCACATTAGGTATATATTCTACTAGATTACTTCCAGCAATATTTGCATGCTTTGAATTTTGGCATTGTGCGTTGTCTTGCAATTCTTTCAAAATGTCATCATCAGAAGCGTTCTGATCTGTCCTCTCCTTCAGCTTTTCAATGACAGTGAGCAGAGACATACTGATGCCCATTTTAATTGGTGCTTCCGATAACTCTGGCCTTTCTTTCTGTATCTCGACTATTGCACATTCACTTTGGTTTAAGCCATCAAACTCCTCTGAAGGATTCTTAAGTGAGGATACCACTTTAGAAGGAGCCATGCAAGGGCCATCAGCTACTCCCTGCCCTGCACCTGCATCCACAGCATCTTCCCCAGTCGGAGTCCTGAAGCTAGACCTTGTCAGTTCTGCAGCTCTGATGGGCATCGTAACAAGAGCCTCTGCAGCTAATGAGTGTAGTCGTAAAGACTCTGAATTTGTCCTTCTTCGTGCAGGAGGTGCATTTTCATCAGTCGTTACATTTTTATTAGAGATTAATTCATTATCTTTCTTCTCGGCATTATTCCATCCTATTATTACTTCTTGAATTTCACCTGAACGATAAACTTCATGGGGTTCTTCACAGGTAACACGGGACTCCTCTGAAATTAATTCTTTTTCTGTTTCAATATCAGTGTTCATCAAGAAAGGCTTTTGTAAGACACTTTCTTCAGCACCTGGCAAACGCTCTACTATTACATTAACGTGACCCTTTTTATTTGGACTACAACTAATGATTTTCTGTGCTGATGAAAGTAGGCTATCAGCTATCATATTATCCTGTTCTGTATCTGATACAGTCTCCTCTAAAACCTCTGTAGGAGAATGCATGACAGACTGATTTAACACCTCCTTCTCTTTCGCATTTGCTCCTACTGGCGATTTGCATGACAGTTGCTCAGAATTGCAGATCTGAAGCTGAAGAGACGGTTCACTATGGATATCAAGTTCATTGTTTTCCAAAGACAGAACAACTGTATCCACACTATGAGGTGTGTGAGTTACGACCGTCTCTGACAAGTTGGTGGTTTCATTTTCTTCCTCAAAGATAGGATAGGAGCAATCCACCTCACCCGCATGCTTCCAAGCGTGCGTTTTCAACATTCTTTGCTGACCGCAGGTGTACCGACAAATTAAACACCGGTACATGCCATACTGCTCGTAAGTATACCATTTTCTCCTACCCACTTCAGGGCTACGAGTCGACGGAGTTGTATCTTTACATTCCGTATTTCCTGTCTGATCGGTCCCCGATTTGACACTTCCTTCCACTGGCCCTTGCAAAAACGAACTTGTGACATTCACACATTGCTGCACCTTTGTCGGGATGCTATTTTTACCATCATTCTCATGGTAGTTTTGGAAGTGGGATTCAAGTTCTTCTTGGCTTTTAGAAGCAAAATGACATTCTGAGCACATTAATATCACTTCATTTTTCTGCCCGTGTTGTTTTATATGTTCTTGTAGTGTCAAGAGAGAAGGTGACAGAAACTTACATAGACTACACTGGTAGCACGTCACCTTTTTTTTGCTTTGTGGAAGACATTCAGTCACAAAATAATCTGCTTGTAACTCTTCAGTTTTTTTAGTAGCAATAACAGAGAGCTCAATTGCTTTAGCCGGGATTTCACAAAGATCATCTGCGTCGAAGGACTGTGCAGAAGCATTAGGATGAGAACGTTTTTTCCCTATTAAAAGGCATCTTTGTGACTTCTCACTTTCAACTATTTTGCTTAGTTTCTGGATAACATGGATTAGTGGATCAGCTTTACATTTTCTCTGATCTTCACTGTTCTGCAGCATTGGGCCAATGACTGTTTCAGAAATCAGCACAGCTTCCTGTTCCCCAATATTTGGCATCAATACCGCAACATTGCTGCCTTCTTCCATAATACCTAGGAGAAAGGGGTTTATAAAAAATTAAAATGTATACATGCACAATAATAAAAATGCAGCTCAGTACTATTTAGATTTCTCCCTCTACTAAATGCGGAAGCCTAATGCCACTAACTTTATAAAAACTCTCAGAATGGCTATATAAATAGCCAAAGATTTTGTGAACATTTAGTGGATAGTGTAGACGCTATTCAATACAGCTGGACAGAATAATTCAAAGAAAGCCTGTAACTGCCTGCCTCCATGTGGGGCAAGAGAAATATATTTCAAGTGCAGGCCGATAAGCACTGTGACAGCCGTTGTCTTTTTCTTTACAATGACTACACATTTGAATGCTGGACACTTAAATATCATAGTAACAATCAATAGTAACTCACGTATTTATGTTTAAAAGCTATGATATGATATGAAAACGTATTCCTAACATACTTATTCTGATACACTGATGTCTTCTAAAGCAAATGACAACTTGCAACAACATAATTTACAAAAATAAGGTGGGTTTTTTCCTTGAAATGTTGGGAAGAGAAAGTAATTCTGGTATTTACTTGCATTAGTCATTTCACTGTTACTATATTAAAGACCATTTAAATGTCAAATCATACTTTTATTAAAAATGTCATTTTCTAGAAAAGCTACTAATTGTAGCTTTTTCTACAATTCCTTAATTGTAGAGAAAATCAGCTGGTACTTAAGTTATAAAGAGTAATTTTTTTCTGTTTTGAGGGAAAGCTAAAGGCAATAACTCTTTCCACTTACACTTCCTTTAAACATATCTAACCATAAACCACAGGCAATAATGTGGTACTGCTGGAGGTTAAATTATTAGCCAGTATGTGTAAATTTACATGAAAACATACTTTGTGATGTGGGCAAAGCTGTGGGGTAAGAGGTGGAAGAGCTGAACAAGTTGTCTTTGTCCTGGTTTGAGCTAAACAGAACTCATTTTCTATTTAGTGATTTTACTTTTCAGCTCAGTCTCTTCTAAGTGGCTGAACTTGCTGAAACCAGCAGCACGGTTTTTTCCAGATAATCTCAAGGTCACTGCCTCACCATGGGTGCCGTGTCTGCGCCTACAGGGGGGAACCGGACCCAAAACTGACCAACGAGGTATTCCATCCCACACACTGCATACTCAGTATAAAGCCGAGGGATCACGAGGGTCTTGACCCTTCCATCTGGGAGCCCTTCCATCTCAGACCCTTCCGTCCATCTCAACCCCTTCAATGGCCCAAGTCTGAGCAGAACCCTGCTGGTTCATCTGCCCCTGATCCTGATTCGTGTGTTCCTGCATCAGCTCCCACTGCTGTTGGGTCCAGACTGAGACTTTTCCAGTGCCCTGCTCCGCAGAGCCTCTGGTGATGTATTCATCACTGGGGGAGGGTGAGGGGAGGATTTTACATTGGTTTTGTATATATTGTACATATCTGTATACATGTCATTATTTTCCTATTTACATTATTATCCTGTAGTATTAGTATTATTGTTTTATTAAATCTGTTAGTTTATTTTCCAACCCGTAAAGTCTCTCTCCCTTATTCTCTTTTCTCTTCCCTTCTGGGGAGGGGAGAGGGGTTAACAGAGAGCTTCTGGCCAGGATTTAGTGGCCAGCCCAGCCCTAAACCACAACAGTCTTGCAGTGAAATTTACTTGGGAAAAAATGTCTAAAAATAACCTATTCAAATTTTAGTATATATATACACACACATATTTTATACACAGTATATATTTTTATATACTTTGTGTAAAATTTAGAACATAAAAGAGGTGCTAAATATTTCTTTTATCAGTCATCCTTGAAAATGTATCCCAAATTCATTCATGTGGAATTTTTTAAATTTTTCTTTTTCAAGAAGGATACAGAGGCCAAACCAGAACTTCCAGAAGCAGTCCTAAAGACCCATGAAATCCACTCTTTTCTATTTATGGATTTAGTATACAGCAATGTAATGAACAGACATGAGAGTGGGTTCCGTGGTGCCCCTGTCCCATTACAGAAAAATTCTGAGCTGAACATTTAAGTTATCTTTACTTGCTCTCCAACTTACAATTAAGGTGACCATCAGAACCCTCAATATAAGCAATGCTTGTCTCATTCACACTTCATATACTCATGCAAAATATTTCAAGCTGAAAATACAGCATTATTTGACAATTCTGAATCATAAACAAAGAAAAGATTACTCTCTTCCATGTTTTTATTTTTCAGTGTTAGTTTGAAGAATATTTACTTGGTAATGGCTAAAATCTACATGAAAAGTGAAAAGTTAATACAATCTAAAGGAAGCCATAGGGCAGCTGGATCCATGATAACTAGAAAACTAAGCTACTTAAGGCTTTATGCCTTTAGCTGGATCTATGTAAGCAGATTAAAAATGATCAATACTGCAGTGCAATAGTAGATCAATTCTAGGAGACAAAAATTTAAAAATACATCTATTTAAAAAAAAATCATTTGATGTAAGAGCATACCAAATAGCCTGCTTATTTAATTCAAGTTCAGTATGGTCTTATTAACAGGAATCAATCACAGAGCTACTGTTAAACAGAAACACCCAAATAGTTAACTTTTTAAATATAAACCAGTAAATGTCTTAATGTGCATTTTCTGCTTCAATTTCTATCATCTGTTTGGCACAGTATATTGAATGACTAACTGTAGTCTATGTGGCTGGAAAAAATTATACCCCCTTCACGTAATATCTCAAATTATATATTAACTTAAACAAGTTTAAGGTCATTACTTGAAAACCATCCTGTTTAGTTATGCAAAAATACTTCACTGTTTGTTTCCTACTGGCTGTATTATGTTTAAAAACTAATATGAAAAGTAAACAAATGTGCTTTTTCCCCTGAAGGCAGATTTAACATCACATGAAGTGCTCAGAAGAATAATGTCTACTGGAAACATTTTCAATTTGAGAATGAGTTAAGGAAAACTATAAGCACATGGTGCTACTTCAAATTACACTCACGACTTTTAAAACTTTGCTAATACTAAATAGGCAAATATTTCCCCTACATTTTCATCTGAAAGCAGCACAGAAATGAAGAGAAAAGAAACACACTGCCACGCATTACTGCTATGTCAAAAATGAAAAGAGAGAGCACCTCCAGATATATTGGTTTTGGATGCCTGTAGCTGATGCAAGTTATCAGATGTGTAACTATGGTCTGATGTCATTCTCTGTTTAGAGTAAGTTTAACGCTTACAGCTGCAGACTTTGTTTTTAGAGCAATTATAAGAACTTTACACAAATATCTGGATTTTAATAATGACACCGCTCTCACTAAGAACAAAGATCATTTAATCTCCCACCACAGAAAACTTCAGACGGGTAAATGGCTCTGCCAGCACACACCCTATACATAGCCCACACGGCAATTAATTAAAATACGGGGCCTAGGGGTGACAAAGGTGCGCGAAGGGGAAGATCTGGACCGGAGGAGAAGGCCTCTGCGCTGAGCTGCCCGTGCCAAACAGCCACTGGAGCGGCGTGGCCGAGGCACGGTGAAATGCCTCCAGGTGTAGGAAAACCCAACTACCGCCTTGCACAACAGCGTGGCTCGGAGAGGCCGCTCTGATCGCATCGCGGCTCCCCAGGGCAGGGAAACTTCCCCAGCGGGAGCTCCGCGCCGCCAACCGTCGCCCCCAGACCGTGGTGCCCCTGCCCGGGACCGCGACTCGAGGATGTCTCCCCACGGCTCTACGACACCCCCCTGGGCTATCCCCCTG